TCATCAGTTTATATTGTTCATTACATTCCACATATGAGTGGGATCATGTGATACTTATCTTTCTCTGACTGGCTTATTTCACTTAGCATAATACTCTCCAGGTCCCTCCATGCTGTTGCAAATGGTAAGTTATATTTTTACAGCTATATAGTATTCCATTGTGTAAATGTACCACAGCTTTTTTATCCACTCATCTGCTGATGGGCACTTGGACTATTTCTAAATCTTACTGTAAATTGCACTACTATGAACATAGGGGTGCATATATACTTTCTGATTGGTGTTTCTGGTTTCTCAGGCTATATTCCTAGAAGTGGGATCACTGAATCAAATGGGAGTTCCATTTTTAATATATTGAAGGAACTCCATACTCTTTTCCACAGAGGCTGCTCCAGTCTGCATTCCCACCAGCAAGCAGTGCACAAGGGTTCCCTTTTCTCCACATCCTCACCAGCACTTGTTGATGGTAGCCATTTTGATAGGTGTGAGGTGACACGTCATTGTCATTTTAATTTTCATCTCTGGGATGATTAATGCCTTTGAGCATTTTTTATGTCTCTTGGCCATCTGTATGTCCACTTTGGACAACTGTCTATTTAGGTCCTTTACCCATTTTTTTTTTATTGGATCGTCTTCCTTTTGTTAAGTTATATGAGTTCCTTATATATTTTATATAACTTTTTTTTTTTTACAATGGAAAACAGTCTGGAAAACTATATACCAAACTGTGAAAAGTAGTTTCCTCTGGGGTACTAGTTAGAACAGCAATTAATTCAACTTTACATATTTTATGTTGTTTTAAATTCTTATATTACTTTTATGAAAAATATTCTGGATGGAAGGAAAACTTGATGAAATGCATGGTCAAATTCAAACCACTGAAATAACTAGAAGAATATAGCTTTCCCCCAGACACCAAGGAAAGCTTCCAGAAAGTGCAGAGAATTGGCTGGATTGAGAATCACTAGCTTCACAAACTCATGCTTTGACTTTGGAAACAGATGACGTGAGATTTTGACCCACTCCTGTGATCTGCAAGTAGCTAGAGCCCAGGATCTACCCTGAGTCACAAAGACACTGCTTTCTCAGGTGGACAGGGATGTATTCAGCTTCCTCACTTCCATCCACACCAGTTTTTCTATATTCACTTAGAAACAACCCTGATGTAGAGCATGAGACCAGGGGTGAAAAAAAAACAACGGGAATGATGCATTGTATCTGGGCATGTGCAGCTTCCTCAACTACAGCAGTGTGATGGGGGGGGGGGCACGAGGCACAGGAAGAGCCTGCAAGCAGTGCATATTTCATGATCATATCGAGATAAGAAGCATCGACTACCTCAGATCTTCTAAGACAGGCAAGCTCTTCCCCATAAGAACAATCCAGGAGTGTCCAAAACAATGGATGCTGCAGAAACTGAAACTGAGTTCAAGGCTGTACACACACTGCTTCCTTCACTTTATGTCATTTTAAAACTGACAGGAAGACTTTGCCAGTATTCACAGGGACAATACAAGGGACAGGGCTCAAATCCGGGCACAATGAACTACCATGTAGCTGTTGCTCCAGGAACAGAATTCTCCTATTACTCCGGGTTCTTGACTAGCATAAGGCACACAGCACCACTGGGTAAGAACTAGTGTCGATGGAACTCTTGCTCAAAACTAAAGTTAAAAAATAAAACTAAGGATGACAATGTAGGGTGTCCAGGAAAAAGAAAACAAAAGAGAAATAGCCCGTCATCATGAAGTGTCACAGTTTCCCCTCCTCACTTCAGAGAAGCACAGGTTGACACTGTGAGCCTGGGGCTCCGCTGCCCCTACTCCTCTAGACCCGGTGCTTCCTGAAGGCAGAGAAAATGTCTCTCTCCCTTTGCAGCCCAAGCCTACCAGCAACACTGAAACTTATCTGTTCAAGTTTATGTTCTGAACCAAGAGTTTAAATCCCCCAAACAGCAGCATCAGTCTCTTCCCATTGTCTCAAACAAGCTGATACTTCAGTGGGAGGGGAGATGGGTAGTTAGGTCTGGAGATGTGCTAACATGCTCAGAAACTGGAATTTAGTTATGAGCAGAGGAAATCAGATATTCAATTATTTTTTGCAATAAAATGTTACAAGCCTTTTGGTGAGTATAAGGAAACACATCACTGACTGTTCTCACTCCCAATGTTTCAGATGTTTAAGGCAGGACGCATTTGCAGAAAACCCCATGTTGGCTTTTGCTCCAGAATCCTCAAGTAGGAACAGTGCAACCTCTGGAGAGTACTGACTAGCATTTAATAATTGTATGAACTTAGACAAGTGAGCTCATCAATCGAGCCTCCATTTTTTTATCAGGAAAATGGGTTGTTGTGAAACTCCAATACATGTTAAGTGCTTAGCACAGTACCTGGTGTGCAGTCCTAAATATGTTATACTGATATACCTGCTTTGATTCTTTGCTTCAAATCATGCCTGAGTTCAAATAGGGCAAACAAACAAAAGAGCTGAATTATGTGCATTTATTCACGATTGAACTAGAAAAATCTGTATCTGTCTTTAGCAAATAATATACATAAATGTACACATATATACAGATATACAGAGTAGTTTCATAAAATTGAATACTCATGATTTTATTTTTTCAGTTGTTTTAACATTATTTAATGAGGTGAGCAGTCTGTATTTCCCCCCCTCCCCCGCCCCTTCTGTGTTTTAAAGATATCCCAATTGTTGGAATTTATCACATCTAAGAATTCCTGACAGTAATGATTGTGCTCATTATTCTTAGTAGCATACATGCATACATTGGCAGTTCACATAATACATGGTTAGTTTCAAGTTTAAAGAAGTGATAGGTAAACACAGTAAAAAAAAAAGTACACCACATTCCCAGCACCCAGATACACTAAAGGTGAATCTGAACCACTTTCTTAAGTCAGGATGAAATAGAATGACTTCTAATATCATATAGAGAAATAAGCAATCAAAGAATATCATTCTGGTCTAAAAAATGGATTTATCCTAAATTGGTCAATATCAGCACCCAAAGAAAGCAATTCTACCACTTCCACTTAAAGTAAACCCCTCTTTAAAGTACACTGTGGCTCATTTGAAGAAGCATTTTTTGAGGGGTATTGGTTTAAGCAGATCCCTTTGTACAAAACTAAAGCAAAGCAAATCCACTACAAGCATCCTTGAACTCAGTCAAAGCTCAGACTTAAGGCCAGGGTCTCTTCTAATCCCATAACCATGCTAAACGCCAACACTGCTGATCTAAAGGCCTTGGCAAGAAAAGCAGCTCAACCAGGGATGGGGGATGGCAGAGAAATCAGTGGTAAAACCAAAGGGAAAGTGACTTTTTTTTTTTTTAAATATATTTTTTTTAATTGATTTTTTACAGAGAGGAAGGTAGAGAGATAGAGAGTTAGAAACATCGATGAGAGAGAAACATCGATCAGCCGCCTCCTGCACATCTCCTACTGGGGATGTGCCCGCAACCCAGGTACATGCCCTCGACCGGAATCGAACCTGGGACCTTTGAGTCTGCAGGCCGACGCTCTATCCACTGAGCCAAACCGGTTCTGGCGGGAAAGTGACTTTAATGCAGGAACAAAATAGCTTCTCTGAAAGGTCTACGAAGAGTAAGCGAAAGTCTTTATTTATTCATTGTCTCTCTTTCTTTTATAACCCTAGCAGCCATCATACTGGATATTTCTGAGTAACAGGAACATTTTCAACTTACAACAAGGTGTTAAGATAACACAATGTCTACTTTTTTTAATGAAATAGTGGTTACAATGGAAAATAAACTACTGAGCTAAAGCTTTTACATGTTGATAGCAATCTCATAGAAAATAATAATGTTTTTAAAATTACAATATTTTACATATGCTAAGTTGAATGTCAATATTAGATAACATCATCTGCAACTGTGGTGTCAAAAATCTGATAGCAAATTTGCTGCTCCGTTCCACTTGTGACATTATACGATTTGATGAAGCATTCCAACCACGGATATGTATCTACAAATCCAAAAGAAAATGTTACTTACCCATTAAAATTAAACAAATAACTCTGGCATATCTAAGCATAATGCTTAGCTAGAAAAATTAACATACTTAATTTGAAGATAGAAAAGTAAATAAATATACTTATCAAATGTAATGTTATCTACTCTTCCAAATTACACATTGGATTCATGTTATTATTTTACAGTGATTCTGACTAATTTGAACTTTTTTCTAACAACAGGAAAAAGTAATGTGGGATTTTCAGGATGTTTGATAGTGAATGTTATAAACTACCTCATTGTAAATTTTTATTCCTTTCTTTCCTGCTAATTTCTTACTAATCTCCAGTTTTTTTTTATTTATTTATTTATTTATTTATTTATTTATTTATTTATTTATTTATTTACTTACTTACTCTCTCTCTCGGTTGGTTGCAAAGAAAAGAAATGGATCAATCCTGAAATTCTCGAATCAGTTGAATACCTCACATTTATCAAGGTAAAACTACAGGTACCAAGTACCGAGTCAAGGCAAAGCTGGCAGCCATCGATGCCATTTCCAAGCTTTGGTTATGACCACAGTAAGTCTATTTATAACATCTAGAAAAGATTCTGATGGTTTCTTCAAATTTGAATTTGAAAGACATTGAATCTAGTCCTCAATATTGGCAAGTGTCAAGAAGGACAGGAACTATAAATAGGTAAAATATTATTGAAAAGCAATTTTGAAGTTATGTATCAAAAGTCTACCTGACCTGTGCTTTTTGATATGACAGTTTTATTTCCAGAAATCTATTCAAAAGAATCTAAATAGCCAACAAAAATTAAAACTGCCATCAAATGAAAGTATGTAAGTTAAACTTTGTTACAAATGTATAAAAAACTATCTTTGCAGAATTGCTAAAATGTATAGACTGACCAGGGTAAAATAAAGCCTGATTAAAAATAACCTATAAGCCCAGCCAGTGTGGCTCTGTGGTTGAGTGCTGAACTATGAATCAGGAGGTCATGTTCGGTTCCTGGTGAGGGCATGTGCCTGGGTTGTGGGCTCGATCCCCAGTAGGGGCTGCGCAGGAGGCAGCTGATCAATGATTCTCTCTCATCATTGATGTTTCTATCTTTCTCTCCCTCTCCCTTCCTCTCTGAAATCAATAAACATATATATTTTTTAAAAATCTATACAAGTTAAATGAACAGTTAAATCTACAGCTGGTAAAATTTGTTACTGATGGAAAATTATTAGAAGGGTCAAACTGTCTTAATATGATTTAGATCTGCAAGTTTCAATGTAAATACAGATAATGGCCACAAAAGGAACACTCAGTGGCTTTTGGTATAGTAATCTATACAATTTGACCTGAAGATTTGGTTGATGAATCAAATGTTAAATCAAAAGCAACTAAAGCTGCTAAAAATAATAAAATAAAAAACTGTAAAATCTGAAAATAGTTAATACTGAATAGAAAATTCATCAATTAATTAAACTGGCTAAATGGAGTTTGTTACAGAAAATGTTTCTTATAAAAGTTTCCTCCCTGTTAATATAATTTCAAATAAAATATTTGTATGTATAAACAGAGTGTCAAATTTCCTTTGATCAAAACTGCCTCCCCTTTATTGTATTTCAAAATATTTAAAAAACCTTTTCATTTCAGGAACTATGATTCATACCTATTTTTTTAAATATATTTTATTGATCTTTTACAGAGAGAAAGGGAGAGGGATAGAGAGTTAGAAACATTGATGAGAGAGAAACATTGATCAGCTGCCTCCTGCACCGTCCCTACTGGGAATGTGCCCGCAACCAAGGTACATGCCCTGACCGAAATCAAACTTGGACCCTTCAGTCCGCAGGCCGACTCTCTATCCACTGAGCCAAACCGGTCAAGGCGATTCATACCTATTTTATACCTGCCACTGTCTTCATCAAAAGGTAGATCATACAGTCATCAAGCACTACTTAGTAATTTATTTGAATTCACATTTCAAAGTTTGCATACCTCTAAAAGTTCATAATTTAGATATATGCTGGTGCTATTTTTTTTAAAAAGAATGAATGGCATATACTATGGCTTACCAATTTTTTTTCCTGGAGGGCAAAGCATATTCATGATCATATCCATACTTTCCTGAAGGTAATCATTGGTTAGGATTTCTGATGCTGGAATATGGAAGAATTTGTCCTTAAAAATTATAGAAGAAAAAGGAAATGATATTAATCTTTAATTCAAGTTATAATTAATATAAAAGGGGTGGGCAAAGGTAGGTTTACATTTGTACTGACATTCTTTTGAGTTAATAAAGCTATTGTAATAATCATAATCCTGAATATCTTTTTCCATAGGAACTGTAAACCTATTTTTGCCCACCCCTGTATTTTAATACTATCTAATTAAAATAATCTAGACCAGTGGTTCTCAACCTGTGGGTTGCGACCCCTTTGGGGGTCGAACGAACCTTTCACAGGGGTTGCCTAAGACCATCGGAAAACACATGTACAATTACATATTGTTTACAGTAGCAAAATTACAGTTATGAAGTAGCAACAAAAATAATTTTATGGTTGGGGGTCACCACAACATGAGGAACTGTATTAAAGGATGGCGGCATTAGGAAGGTTGAGAACCACTGATCTAGACTATGTCACTCTATCAAGATTCCAGAATTCATAAAAGACAGTGCTAGTCTGAACTCTAAAATATGGTTTACTTTAATAACAGATTTGAGATATACAATTGAGTTAAATGGCTCTGACTTAATAATAATCAGAAAACAGGGAGACTTACTATTCGCTTAATAACACATATATTGAGTGCCTACAATGTGTAAATATTAAGTTTAAGAGTATAACATATTTATTTAATTTTTTCCTCTTCTACTCGAATGTAAGGAGGAAAGGGATTTTGCTTGCCTTGCTCACTACTATGTCTTTACCACAAAGAATAGTACCTGGCACATAGAAGGTGCTCATTAAACATCTTACCTAATAATAGAAAAACATGTAAATTGACCGTACCTTCGCTACCCTAACCAGCCAATCAGGAGAGTATGCAAATTAACCCAACAAAGATGGCAGTTAATTTGCATACGTAGGCTCAAAGCGGCGGAGCGAAGACTGAAGGTGGCTCCGGCCCGAGCAGTGAAGACCGAAGGCGGCTCCGGCCGGAGCGAAGGCCTGGGTCCTGGGTGCCGGAGGAAAACCGGTGCCGGCAGCCAGGAGAAGGGAAGGCCTATTGCACGAATCTCTTTGTGCAAAGGGCCTCTAGTTTAGTTAATAAATGGATACATGAATTGTTTAGGTAGGAGAAAATTCTCAACCTTACCCGATTCTTTCACAATGTGTGTAATAAAAAAATAATGTTATCAGCCTCTCCCTTGGCTTCTGGGAGGTAATCTGTAAACCTGTGGATGTCATGCCTGATGGGAGTGCCCTTGTTTGCTTGGGGACACAGGGTCACACTGGATAGTCTAACAATGTGGGTTTGTGTCATGTAGTATTAGCTTGACCACTGCGGGGTCTGGAGACTGAGATCAGTCACGTGTACATTCAACCATGACTACGTGACTGGACTCCAGCAAAAACTCTGGACACTAAGGCTCAGTGAAGCTTCTCTGGTTGGCAATACTCCATGGGTACCCTTACACGTTGTTGCCAGAAAGTCACTCTGTCTGCTGACTTCTACAACACGAAAGAGGGCAAATGAAAGTTCCACATTTGAAACTTCCTTGGATTCTGCCCTATGCACCTCTTCCCTTGGATGATTTTAATCTGCATTTTTTTTAGCTGTAATAAACTATAATGGTGAGTAAAACTAACAAGCAAAACAAAGAGACTCAAAGATAGCATGGGGTGGGGGTGGGGGTGGGAGTGCGGCTGGGTATGGAGTGTGGAGAGATTGAGCAAAAAAAAAAAAGATAAAAAACTCATGAACATAGACAACAGTGTGGTGATGACCAGGGGGAGAGGGGGAAGGGGAGGTGGAGAAGGGAAAAAAATTGCTTTCAGTCAATTCTGTGGGTCTTTCTAGTGAATTATCAAAACTAATGGTGGTCTTGGGGACCTCTGACCTTGCAACCTGCGTCAGAGTGAGGCTGGTCTTGGAAATCCCCAAACTTGGAACTGCTGTTGGGAAGGAGGGTGGTCTTGTGGAAAGCTCTCTAGCTTCACCCACGTCACTATCTCCCTATCAACGTAATTGTGTTGACTCTAATAGGAAATGAGGAGGCTTTAGAAGCCTAG